GCATCCTATTAGTCTTGGATATAACATTAAGCAACTTAGTAAGCCATTCCAAGCCTGCTCTACCCACACACCTCCAAAGCTCAACCGGAATTTCATCTGGTCTGGTGGCTCTGCCCCTTCTCATCTTACGCATTGCCTCCATGACCTCATCGACCTCAATGTCCCAAANTGCAGACGACCCAATATGGCCATTGAAATCCCCTCCTATGAATAACCTCTCAGAAGGTGGAATATTACGAACAATGTCATCCAACCCTTCCCAAAAACGCCTTTTAATCTCCTTATCACAACCTACTTGCGGTGCGTACGCGCTAACGACGTTTAAAGTACACTCACCCACCACCAATTTAATAGTTATTAGTCTATCATTCACACGCCTGACCTCTACCACTGACTCCCTAAGATGGCTATCTACTAGGATACCCACTCCGTTCTTACCCCTCACGACTCCAGAGTACCACAACTTATACCCATCCACGTTTCTCGCCCTCGATCTGACCCACCTAGTCTCCTGGACATACGCAAGTTAGTCCAATTTTCAATTCTGTTTGTCAAACTACACCCAAACCCCAACTTCCAGGAAGTTTCCCAAATCAGTTACAAGAGATTCTCTCAATCAAAATTCCTAACTTACCCTTTAAACTTCTATAATTTACTCTCAGCAAACAACATGGGTCAAGTCTGAACCAAGATCAAACCAAAAATGAATGGGCTTCCCTCGAAACTAGGTCAGGAATGACCCCAAAGACAAATCTAATGGCCAACCCAAATCAGAAATCAATATCAGTGATTTACGAAAAGCAGAAGAAGATTAACTTAAATGATTTCAAAACCAAAAGCATGTCTAAATGACTGATTTTTTAAACTAACATAAATAAGATAGAATTAAACTAGATGACCAAATCAAAACAAAACCTAATTAAACTAATTATAAGACTAGAACATGAAGGACTCTCTGATTAATATAATTAAGCTAATGGACTAAACAAAAATCAGAAACCAACCGACATGAATAACAAATAAGCAAGGCAAATGAATAATCCAAACAAAAATCAACGAACAGCCTTTAAAATTGGACAAGAACTAGAAAACACACGGAACAAATACGACCTCAAACCAACCAAGGGAAAGACCTAGGTTCAGAATTTGAACCTTTACTAGGTTTCAAATCAGAAGAAAACTACTTAAAGAAGAGGAGAAGAAAAGAAAAGGAATAGAAAGTGAAACAAAAACGGACAGAAAATAAAATGAAAGCAAAAAAAATTACTTAATTAACTTGAACATCATTGGATGCCCCGATTTAAAGAAAACCAATGTTAATCATTTGTTCTTTGTCAAAAACAAACAAACAACATTACTTTTATGTTAAATCACCCTTCAAAACTTGACAACTAAGAGGTCTAGGCCTTGCATGCTACATATTCGAGGGTAAGGCGATTTTGGGGTTTAGGGCTTCGACCTTAGATCTGAAATTTGAACAGATGGAGAAGGATTCGAGGGAAGTGGTTTTTGGTTATGGAAAGAGGAGAATCCAAGGGTTGTGGGGTGTGATTTTGAGGCGGTTTGGGGTTGGCGCCGCCACTGGAGGGGGTGACGACTTTAAGGCGGCAGATATAGGGTTCATGGGGTCTCTGAAGGTTAGAGAGGACGAGTGAAAAGAGATTAAACGGGGGTAAGGCTCGATCGGATAGTTATATGGGGAACTAAACGCAAGTTCTGGGCTGTTTGATCAAATGTAATCGACGGCTCTAATGAAGGGGAGTGAGAACAACGTCGTTTGGTTAGGCTGGAGATTTGGACCAGGTTAGGGGAGATTTGGGCCTAGACTGAGACGGGTTTTGGGGCGGAATTTGATCTGGGCCAAGCCAAATTGACCCAACAATCAGCCTTTTGTTGATTCAATTCCTTTTCTTTTAATTTCTAATTTTCTTTTTCTTTTTTTTCCAAATTAATTTAAAACCTAAAATAACTCTTAAAACTAAATTAATCTACCAAATTAAGCTGATTACTAGTCATAGTATTTACAAAAAATTAAATAACTCCTAAATTAAAAGAAAAACTATATAATTCAAAATTAAAAAGTTAAAAATCCAAAATGAGTTATATTTTGGGATTTTTAATTTTTGTAAAATAACTAATTTACTAATTAACTTAAAAATGTAAAAATAAATCCTAAATGCAAATGCAATGTACTTTTGTATTTTTATGAATTAAATAAAATTAAACATGCATAGAAAAATGCAAATAATTAAGAAAATTCTACAATAATTCCTAAAATGGCAAACAATTAAAAGAAAAATGTAACTCTTTGGGATTCTGTAGGAGTAATTTATGTGGGGCAAATATCACGTGCTCATAGCTTTCCCTCTTTGCTCGTAGACACGAAGGGTTTTCGAGAAAAGATAAACTGAGCGATTATGAGGGATTTTTGCCCGTTTGAAACTCCATGAGAAGCATTTTTTGAAAAGAAACTAACCGAACCTTGCTTCATAGGTTGCCTACATATCCTTGGCTACAAAGGAATCAGATTAGTGTAGTTCTGGAAGTTTTAGTAGCTGGGACTACCGGGAAGCTGTGATTTCACTATTGTTGCTATTGCTACTGCTTGCTAAGCTCCTTATTACACCAAAATGAAATATAAGAAGCTAAACTAGCTAATCCTATCAACTACGAGTTACAAGATTCCTATCTATAAATCTGCTGAAGCTCGATCTTGAGTCTTGACTGGTTCTTCCTGCAAACTCAGGTCTGAATCTTGATGCTCATTAGCTGTGAATGCTGGTTCATTTTTCAGCTTTTGGATCAAGTCGGTACATGCGAAGCTTATGACTTCAATCATATCTTGAGAATGCATCTTTCTCTGCTTCTGCACTTTGAGTTCACTTCTTTTTGTTCTTTTTTCTTCTTTTATTTGGTTGAGATTTCTTCTTTTGGTCATCTCGAACCTTGTGCCTCATGGTAGAAACCTGCTCAGGCACCAAAAAAGACAAACGAACGAAATTGTCTACCTCAATTTTCACTAGGAAAATTTTGTGAGTTATTATAACAAAATCTAAACTATTTCTTATTGAAAGCAATAAAATCGGATTGTGTATCCTTGAGAAAAAGGGATTGAGGAGTGGAGCCCTATATCTATACTAAAAGTCAACTAGGGAGTGGAAACCCTATATTGGCAAAAGGCGACTAGGGAGTGGAGACCCTATGTCTAAAATAATCTCATCTAGGGAGTGGAGACCCTATGTTGGCAAAAGGCGACTAGGGAGTAGAGACCCTATGTCTAAAATAATCTTAACTAGGGAGTGGAGGCCCTATGTTGGCAAAAGGCGATTAGGGAGTGGAGATCCTATGTCTAAAATAATCTCAACTAGGGAGTGGAGACCATATGTTGGCAACAAGAGACTAGGGAGTGGAGACCCTATGTCTAAAATAATCTCAACTAGGGAGTGGAGACCATATGTTGGCAACAAGAGACTAGGGAGTGGAGACCCTATGTCTAAAATAAACTCAACTAGGGAGTGGAGACCCTATGTTGGAAAAAGGCAACTAAGGAGTGGAGACCCTATGTTGGCAAAAGGCGACTAGAGAGTGGAGACCCTATGTCTAAATAAACTCAACTAGGGAGTAGAGACCCTCTGTTGTCAAAAGGCGGCTAGGGAGTGGAGACCTTATGTCTAAAATAACCTCAACTAGGGAGTGGAAACCCTATGTTGGCAGAAGGCGACTAGGGAGTGGAGACCCTATGTCTAAAATAATCTCAACTAGGGAGTGGAGACCCTATGTTGGCAAAAGGTGAATAGGGAGTGGAGACCCTATGTTGGCAAAAGGCGACTAAAGAGTGGAGACCCTATGTCTAAAATAATCTCAAATAGGGAGTGGAGACCCTATGTTGGAAAGACGACTAGGGAGTGGAGACCCTATGTCTAAAATAAACTCAACTAGGGAGTGGAGACCCTATGTTGGCAAAGCTTAAAATTGAGATTGGGGATCCTAAGCTACCATTTTGTTTTTGAATTTTTCTTCTTATCTCTTTTTTCTATTTTGTTTTGTTTTATCCTTTCTTCTTTTTTTTTATTTTCATGGAATGAGTAAATGCAGAAAAAAATTGGAGAGGACTTCCCTTTTTATGCATTGTTGCTACAAAGTTGTTTGTAGCACTTGAGCATTTCTTTTTGGTTGCACATGCTTCTTGCAAGGTTGTTTTGGATTGCACATGTTTCAAGTTTTCAAACAAAAAACAATTGTTAGTTTGAAACTGTGGTTGATTTTGTTGCCTTGATTTTTTTTGATCACTTGATCTCGGCCCAACTCTTTTGTTGAGAACCTCTGCTATTTGCTGGATTTCTGAAGATTGATCTCTCTTCTGAAACCGAGGAAATCAACTTTCCAAAATTTCACATGACGGTTCACCCGTGTGGGATTTTGGCCTTTTCATCTTATTCTGCCTCTAGGGGCGTTTGACTTTGGATTTCTTTCATTTTCGATA